AAAAAATGTGCAAAGTCTTCTCAAGTTACTTTGGCAGTTATTCCAGGTGGGCTTACATCTGTATTGCAGCCCCTAGATGTGTGTTTAAATAAACCTTTCAAAGACCGTGTGCGAAAGATGTGGCATGAATGGATGTCATCTGGTCAAGCTCGACTGACAAAAGCTGGAAATCTGAGGAAGCCAGACATAGAATTGATAGCACAGTGGGTTCGTGATGCATGGGAAGAGATTCCAGAGGACCTGGTGCAACGCGCCTTCAAGAAATGTGGCATTAGTAATGCTATGGATGGCAGTGAAGACAGCGCTTTGTATGAGAACGACAGCAGTGATGGTGATGACTGTGAACTCAGTGATGATGACAATGTCTATGCTGATAACCTCACACCAGCTGAAGCTGTTTGTATGTTTGGACATACAGATGATGAGGGGGAGAACTCCAGTTTTGAAGGATTTTAGCTTTTGTGTGTTAGCTTGGTTGCTGATTGAGCTAAGGTTGTTGTACTTTTAAAGTTACTGTATTTTTGATACCATATTGTTATATGTTGACCCCCTTTTCCACTTACAGAGCTAAGTTATTGTTTTTCTTTGAAATAAATATTCATGTAATTTTATTGGTATCTATCTTCATTTTGTACATTTACCAGTAGCTGCCTCATTTCCCACCCTCGGCTTATATTCGAGTCAACACTTTTTCCCAGTTTTTTGTGGTAAAATTAGGTACCTCGGCTTATATTCGGGACGGCTTATACTCGAGTATATACGGTATATCTATATATCTACAGTATATATCTATATATATTAGGGATGCACCGATACCGGTATTTTGGTACCGAGTACCGATAATTTTTTTTCGGTACTCGCCATACCAATTACCGGGATGCACCGATACCGAGACTAGTATCGGTATCGGTGCCGATTCCGATTGGTCGGAATCTTCTTGATTGGCCGGGAAGCTTGCCAATCAGGAAGTTGGCCTCGTGAGGTAAGGTTACCTTACCTTAGTATGTGCAGCATGTAACCCCTGGGGCCTCTCCAGCGAGAACGCGGCCTTCCTCCGGGAACCCAGCTGGAGCCGTCTGGCCGGCCAATCAGGAAGCCGGGCACCATGTCATCATGAGATGACGAGGGAGCATGAAGCCAGCTTCCTGGCCAATCAGAAAGCAGGGCGTCGCATCATTACATGGCGCCCGGCTTCCTGATTGGCCAGCCAGACGGCTCTGGCTGCGTACCGGAGGAAGGCAGTGTTCTCACTGGAGAGTGCCCCGGGGGTGACAGACTGCACATACTAAGGTAAGGTTAACCTTACTTCACGAGGCCAGCTTCCTCATTGGCCAGCTTCCCGACCAATCAAGAAGCCGGGCAGCGCGTCATTACACGGCTCCATGCTCTCTCATCACAAGTGACAGTCAGGAAACCGGGCAGCATGTAATGGCGTGCTGCCCGGCTTCCTGATACCGGAAGTACTCGTGCTAGGCATCGGAGCATTTGGATGAGTACTCGCCCAAATACTCGGAATTGGCACCGATATTGATACTAGTATAAGTATCGGTGCATCCCATGTGTGTGTGTATATGTATATATATATATATATATATATATATATATATATA